CTTTCTAGAGTTGCAAAATATGTTGCAACTGTCATATCCCCTTGCCTTAAAGCAGCAATGTCTTGGTTCAACCTGTAAATTCTAGCATTGTTTTTCTTCTGTCCATAGGTTTTTGACACTTTTTCCCAAATCTTAGCTGCTGTGGGAAAGTGTTGAACAGTCCTGGCAACTCGTGGAGTCATAGAAGCAAGCAACCAGGACATAATTGTGGCATTCTCCTTGCGCCACACTACATACTCCACACTGCCAACTTCGGTTCCTTCTTCTTCTCATCTAAATAACCTGTGAGTTCACGGGAAGTAATAAAAAGCATTGTAGAAACGGACCACTCCCTGAAGTTGTATTCATCCAGCAACACACTTGTAATCTGCAAGCTATGCAGATTCGGGTTCTCCAGATTTGAAGGCCTCCCACCAGGTCTGTTATCCCTAGAAGAGACCTCTCCGGATATTGAAGACATCTTGGTTGCAGACTTTGTGTAGATAACACACTATTTTAGACTAGCCGAAGTGGTCACAGTTCTGAAGTGGACCAGTTACAGCAGCAAGAAGAATTCTGTGAGCTAGTAACCGACCTGAAACTGAGAGCCCTCCACCACTGCACTATGCAGACTTCTCTTGGGCTTCGACTTCTGCTACCGTAGAGAGTATTTTAGACTAGCCGAAGTGGTCACAGTTCTGAAGTGGACCGGTTACAGCAGCAAGAAGAATTCTGTGAGCTAGTAACTGACCTGAAACTGAGAGCCCTCCACCACTGCACTATGCAGACTTCTCTTGGGCTTCGACTTCTGCTACAGTAGAGAGTGCTTAGCCCTACGACCAATACTAGGACTGCTGAAATCAGTCCTCAACCTAGGTCTGTCCTATACAGACCTCTCTTAGTAGCCATTCGGCTACTAACTTCTAGAAGCAGTCTAGTAGGACATCAACTTCTGGGTCTTCCCATCACTAATCAGGTTTCTCCGCAGCAACCAGGATAAAAAAAAAGAGAGAAGAGTTGGCGTCGGCTGTAACCAGAAGATCGCTCAATGCTCTGATACCATGTTTGCTGAAAGGTTGTAGCTGAAGTAGTAGAAGAGAGGTGAAGGCAAACAAGTGCTGAGAATGTCGAACTGAGTAACCCAGTCGACAGTATTATTATTTATAGTAGATTACAATACAGTGTTACATGAAATGTCTGGAATGCCCCTGATTAGTGATGGGACACCCAGACTTCTTAAAACACTAAACAGAGTTAGACCCAATAACAAAGGCCCAATACCTAACAGCTTAAAACCCAATACTAACTAACATGTACACTTATCAGCCGAACCAACAATACATAAAAACAGTCAACTTAACAGATAGTTTCCAAATTTGTAGTCAACTACTATTTTTCTGAGTTATTATTTTCTGAGCTTCTATTCTTAGGATCTCTAATCAGGAGTCACTTGCAGCTTTAGAAATCGCCAAATTTCTATTTCAGTTAAAGCTTTGAAGATTTCTATTTATACATGTAAATCTGTCCAGAACAGCAGAACTGAATGGGTTGATTTTGTTCTTCTCTATAGCTGCCCTTTTTCTCTCTTGAAATCACTGTTTGAGAAACACACGATTTCTTTTTTTGTTTTTTTTTCAAGAAAATGTAAGGTAAATTTGTATTAATTAATCAAAAAAGAGGGAACAACCCTTATACGAGGCCATGTTTGGTTCATTGCTCTAGGCCTCATTCTTTTAATTCTTGCCCAATTTGGGCAAGAATGAATAACATTAGAGCATTTGGTTACAAAATTCTTGCCAGGGGCCTAATTCTTTTCTGAATGAAAAATCAACCCCTAGTATAAAAATTGAGACAACCTGTAGCATGAAAAATAATCATGCCCCATTTTGCTAATTTTCATTCTTTAAAGAAAATCTCTGCCAACAATGGTTTAGATCTACAAAACCATTGCCACAGATGTTTATTGGTATATTGCTATGGAAACTTACACCAATGGACATTGACTACCGGCTATTCATTAGTAAATATCTATGTTGATGGTTTTGGAAAATTAGGCGGCGGTTTATGCCCATGGGAAGAGTTTTTTGAGGAATGAAAATGAGCAACATAGGGCACTTGTCAATTTGAAAAAAAAAAAAAAACATATTTTAGGAAGAAGCATTTGGTTCATAGCAATATTTTCTCATTCTGCCCATTTTTACTCATTCTTGTCCATTTTAGAATTTCATCTTGGGTAAAAATGAGAAAGAATGAGAATTGAACCAAACATGATTTGAGTTGCTGTACAAAGTATAGGCAATTTCAGACAGCAAAAGTATACCAAGTGCAGTAAGTTAAACAGCATGAGAAGTAGCAGAATTTGCCCAAGAAATGACTTTAGCAGATTTCATCCAATTGAGAAGTTTGCTGTTGAAGATCCTGTTGTTTCTCTCCATCCAAATGCACCAGAGGGTGGATGCAGGGATTAAGTACCAAGATGCCTTGAGAAGTCTGATTCTGTCCCTGCCAGCATTGAAGGGCTTCCATAGTTCCATTACTGATCTCGGAAACACCCAGCTTATATTTAGTCTATTGAGAAAGTAGGTCTAGCTCTGGAACTCTAGATTTCCCTCTAAATTCAGAGCCTACTTTGTGGGATTTCAAAGCAAGTCTACCCATCAACCTTGCCTTCTATCTTGAGCATTACACAGTGACTACAACTAAAAGATGGGCTTCAACCCAACCTGGTTGTCTATACTAAATTAATAAACAATAACATCAGAATTAGAGGCAACAAATTTGCTTCACTTGTTTTTCCTTTTCCCCTGATAGCTGATTATTTGCTTTTACCCTGCCTCCCCCACCCATCCCCCTCATCCACCTTCTTGCCTTCCCTACTTTTTTACTCTGTCCAATTCTATTGTCTGAAGGAGGCAGAGTCACATGATTCTAGCTCATCTTCCTTAATGATCCTCCTTTGTTTCTCTTGCTAAATACTGATTTGGTCACTTTCAAAACTCAGGAATATATGCTGGATGTTTTCTAGCAAGCACCGCTGTTCTTCAAGGTCCCCTGTTTTTCATCTATTTCACCACGAGTAGAGCCATCTATACCCAGAGAGTCAGAGACCATTTGTGCTGTGTAATTTTAGCCAAGCATAGCATTTCTATCATTGTTTTATGTGTAATAAATAATTTTTATTTGTTGTATATTAAGTGYCATTTYATGTTTTATCTGATATGTACTTTAAATTATTCTTATTTTTAACCATTAGTACAGTTCATTGGTATTCATGATGGTCAATTTGAGTCAGAGACCATTTGTGCTRTGTAATTTTAGCCAAGCATAGCATTTCTATCATTGTTTTATGTGTAATAAATAATTTTTATTTGTTGTATATTAAGTGYCATTTYATGTTTTATCTGATATGTACTTTAAATTATTCTTATTTTTAACCATTAGTACAGTTCATTGGTATTCATGACGGTCAATTTTAGATGATGTTTGTGCAAACAATTGCATGGGTTGTTGACTGTTGTCAATTGTCTGTTTGGTTTTACTCTGACTTTTAATTGTGGATCACTTTCTTATTTTGTCTTTGGATCTTACATGTATTCCCTCCTGTATTTATTGTTTAGTGCTGATGGAATGCTATTTGGAGCACTAGCTAGCTGCCCCATCTGCTCTGGTTCTTTACATTACTCTGGAGGTGAATATCGTTGCCATGGGTATCTGTCAGCATGGAGCAAATGTTCTTACTCAACTACTGAACCTGAACGTCAAAAGGGAAAGTGGAAAATCCCTGAGGAAACCAGTAATGAGTATCTTTGCAAGGTATGAAATGTTCAGAAGCTCTAAATTACATAGTTTTGTGGCTATAATATTGTAAATGAAGTTGAATGATGACTGAATGCAGTGGTTCAAATCACAAAAAGCAAAGAAACCTGTTCGTGTTTTGCCCCCACCATCTTCTAACAAATCTAGTCAAGCTGCTATTGGCCTGTCTCAGCAGTCCAAGGGAGAAAGATTGGAAGATTTGAAAGTTGCAATAGTAGGGCTATCTACGGAATCCATGGTATGAAACTATGAATATGATTTGTAATTTGTGCTAATATTTGTCCACTCCTTCCTTTTCAAATTTTGTGAGTTTAAAACTCTGTTAGAAAACATGCATTTGGTCTATATGATAATATCTTATTTCTCTGGAGTTTTGGGCTTTATTTCATCTAATATAAGGAAATGAGCAGGAAGAGTGGAAGAGGAAAATAGAGGGATCAGGTGCAGTCTTTCATGCTAAGATCAAGAAAGGTGTTGGTCCTGTTTACTGGAATAAGACTTCAAATACTCATTTGTTTTCTAACAATACTGAATTGATATGGATGGATATACATATTTTGTGTTCTATATTGTAGACAGTAACTGCTTGGTTTTGAGTGGGGAGATGGATGATCAGGATCCTGAGATTAGAAAAGCAAGGTAAAGTTGTGATGTATGATTCTCCCTCTCTCTGTGTCTATTTTGCTAAATGGATTTATCATGAGAAAGTGGTTATCTTCTTTGCAGGAGGATGAAAATACCCATTGTTAGGGAGGATTATCTGGTTGAATGTATTAAAAGGCAGAAAAAACTTCCATTTGAACAATATAAAATTGAAACAGTTGGTTCTTCAAGCATGGTTACTGTGAAGGTCAAAGGGCGGAGTGCAGTTCATGAAGYCTCTGGTCTGCAAGATTCAGGTCACATTCTTGAGGATGGGAAAAGCATTTATAATACAACCTTGAATATGTCTGACCTGTCAACTGGCATTAACAGGTAGAGTTGATATGTTGATACATATGTATGGAGGAATATAGCTATTGTTTTTACTTCATGCATTGAAATTGTTTTGACTGTTTCTACTACAACTTTTTTTTTTCTTTTTTTTTTTTAAGTTGCACATCTAATTGATTAAGTTTCTTAATAATAGAGTATACATTAATGGTGGTAAATGTGCACATTAAAAATGTAATAGAAGGAAAGAAGAAAATTAGTGCTTGAGAACTAGGTTGGTGAGTCTAAAAGGAAAAAAACTAGTATAATATATCGACAAGCTAATAGTAAAAGGACGATGACATTTAGATGAAAAGATTAATGATATGTGGCTTGAAATGACTAACTGTATGAAATAGATAGCAGAAGAAGTTCTAGGAATAGGTGTTTTCACTTTTCTGAAATGAGGAAGGCCGTATAGTAGCACTGTTCTCGGGTCCAATTGGCATAGGGGACTCCTTAAGGGTGGAGATTATAACAGTTGTAAAAGAAGTACAAAGGGCAAGGATGATGGATTTTACCAAGTTAATAATTGAAGGGGATTCAAGATTGGTGATTGGGTGGTTGCAGGATTTTGAGGCTGCTCTGTAGTCTTACTGAAATGAACTAAAGAAATTTAAATGGCTGACTAGAGGAATGGATGTGGGGCTTCAATGGATAAAAAGGGAAGTGAATAGTATGGGTTGATGCTTTAACCAAGCTAGGGATAAGAATAAAAGTTAAAAGAAGAGATAAGAATCCTAATGTCTCTAAAGGGTGCTCGTATATTTGTACCATTATTATTATTAATAAAATTGCTGGTTATTGATAAAAAAGTTGAGGAGAATTCAAAGAAAAAGGGCAAGGCACTAAAGAAAATTGGTGGTGGAATAAGGAGGTGTAAAATATAATAAAAGAAAATTCATAAAAAAATATAATCAAAGAAAACAGATACATTACAAAGATTGACAAAAGAGAAAATGTAGAAAAATTGGAAAAATATAAAAAAAGGAGAAAGTAAGTCAAAAAGAAAGTGATTGAAGCTAATTTTAGACCTAAAATGAGCATTTTTTTCTACCAAAAAAAAGCTAATTTTAGGCATATAATGAACTTCATAATAAACTGGGAACTAAAGAGGGAGAAAATGAAATTTATAAACATGTAAAGATGAGAAAAAGAAAAATTAGAGATTTAAATCATGTTAGATGCATCAAAAAGTCTTGGAGTAAGAGGAAATCAAGGAAAGTAGACCAAGGTGGTTTAGTCACATGCAGAGAAGACCATCTACATCACCTGTGAGAAGAAGTGATCTGTTACAAGTTGAAGGGTCTAGAAGAGTTGGGGCTGACCAAAAAGGACATGTTTTGAAGTAGTAAGGAATGATTTAAAGGCCCATAATTTAACAATGGATATGGCACTAGTATAATGGTGGAAAGGATTCATGCAGCCCTCCATATAGTTGGGGCAAGGCTGAGTTGGGTTGAATGTGCCAATGTCATGGTTGGAAAGCTAAGTCTAACATTCTGAACTTCTTCTGTCAAATGAACAAAATTATGTTCCAGTAGATGTACTATGCTGTGTTTGTTTGTGGTGTAAACCTCATTGATGTAAAAGTAAAACTCCATCGATAGAGTTTCACACCGAACCGTTTGAAATTTTCTAAACTGTTGAAAAAGTGAGCATCGAAAAAGGTGATTATCGATGTAAAAWCTACATCGATAATCAATGTAAAACCTCACTATAAGTGACATTTTACATCGATTTGCGATGTAAACCTCATTTCCATCCAAATACCGACAAAACCGAACCGGCAGTGACGTTTTACACCGCAAACAAGCACAGCCTATGAAACTATTATAATGGTGCTACGAGGTTTCAATATGGAAAATAAGGACCAACTTTACTAGCTATTTTACTTTATCTGAAGAGCAGCAACAAATGATATCTGAAAGTTCTTTTTCCCCATAAACTCCATAGTAGAATTCCTTAGAAAAACACTCCATAGTAGGAGAATAGAACAACTTTTCTTTTGATAGTGAAAGAAATGTAGAACAATTTCATTAGTACGAATACTTTGGAAGGAAACCAATTTGATGAGTTGATTTTATTCTTGCAATAAGTGATTTATAGTGTTTGAACTTACTGGTTAGCTGGTTTATTTTATTATTGCGTTCTGATCACTTTATTTGTGCTTCATGAAGTTACTACATCCTTCAAATTATCCAAGAGGACAAAGGGTCAGGGTTCTATGTGTTCCGTAAGTGGGGGAGAGTTGGTAATGATAAAATTGGTGGAAGCAAACTAGAAGAGATGTCAAAGTCAGATGCAACCCAAGAATTCAAACGTTTATTTCTGGAGAAGACTGGGAATCCCTGGGAAGCCTGGGAACAGAAACATAATTTTCAGAAGCAACCAGGCAGATTCTACCCATTAGACATTGTACTAGTGGCTTCCTTTCATTTTCATTTTTCTTTTTCATTTTTTTTTCATGTTAACATAAGTGAAATCTCCTTATGTGAGGCCTGTCTAGTGTCTACAACTTATGTTTGAATATGGGATTTTGTAGGATTATGGTGTCAACAAGCAAGTATCACAAAAGAAAAATTGGAATGGTGCCAACAGCCAACTTGCCCCTCCATTGGTAGAACTAATGAAGATTCTGTTCAATGTTGAAACATACAGGTTATAAACTGATCCTTTTCCATTTGATGGTATCCTGTGGTTTGTTGTAACACAGCATATTTGAAAGACTAGTATTACTTTTTGCAGGGCTGCGATGATGGAATTTGAGATAAATATGTCTGAAATGCCCCTTGGAAAGCTAAGCAAAAGCAACATCCAGAAGGGTCAGTCTCTTTTCATGGATCTTATACATTCTTACATGTTGCGGCAGGCAGCTCGTGCCCAATATACTTTATTGACTTCATTGTTTTCGATCCAACTGGATTATACTGCATCTGCATAATAGAACTTGTATTGTTTATTTCACTGATTTATTTATTTTTTTCTTTTTTGCAGGGTTTGAGGCATTGACAGAGATACAGAATCTATTAAATGGTAGTAACCATGAACCTTCTGTCAGAGAGAGCTTAATTGTTGATGCTAGCAATCGCTTTTTTACTTTAATCCCTTCTATTCATCCACATGTCATTAGAGATGAGGAAGATTTTAAGTCAAAGGTATAGCATTTCATCTTAGTTGGCCTTTTTCATGTTCTCATGTATGCTGCTTATGGATGAGACAAGGCTTAGAAGATGATAGTATATTCTACTTGTGGTTATGTGCCCCACTAATTCCAAATGGTAGCCTAATCATGCCAAATTGCATATTTTATTATCTATACCGCCTCTCTACTGTAGGTATATCAAGCTGTGGATGGGTACTTTGGGTGACAGTGGAGCACTAATTTGACAAAGAAAAAAAAAACTAAATTCTAGGTCAGCTTCCTTGTTTTATATGCCCAACAGTATGCATATGAATTAAAAAGAAAAGCTATGCTCTTTACTAAATAACTTTGGATTTGATATCAAAACATGGATGATCATCATATCTAAAGGAAAATAGCATTTTAAATCTATAAGCCTCTAATCAGTCAGTTGGGGGGGGGAGTCATCTTGAATTCATATGTCAACCTGATTTAGGCCTTCAGTGGGCCTGCTGCTGCTATGGATGCTGCTGAAGGTGAAGTCAAGGCCCTCCTCACTGGTCTAAGATCTGCCAAGGCCTTGCAGGCTGCCCATTTGTTAGTTGGGGGGGGGGATTCCAGGCAAGGATTAAAATATCAATATGATACGCTCCATATTGGGCATATTATATTCGTATCAGTGCACCCAGGTATGCATGGGTACAGCAAAACATTTTACGTCATTTAAAATTTTGGGATAGTCTATCCCATCCCTCTAATACTTGTAAATAAAAAAAAAGAGTATCGGTCATATCAATACACACTGATACCCAACTTTGGGCGTCAAGTGTATTGATATTTTAATCCTTAGTCCTAGGATAGTGATTGACTAGGCCAGCAAGCTGGGGACTGGTCCCTAGAGACTAGCTAACTTCCTTTTTGAAATCAGCGGACTTTCTTCTACTCTTGAGTCTACAGCTGGATTCCTAGCGGGTTGAACCAAAATGCTAACACTTTAGCTAAAGCTGGAATGGAGAGGATTTTTTTAGTAGTGCAAATAGTTTTCCTGAGATTTGAGTGGCCTTATGTCTTTTGGATTTATAACTCCTTTTTTGTACATCCACTCATGTATTATCTCTATTTTTTTTTGCCTTAATAAATCGACTACCTTTCTCAAAAAAGAAAAAAAAAGAGGCTTATAGGAGGGGTCTTGGTGTATTGGGGGGGATCTTCCATCTTCCATGTGATTAGGTTTTCCATTGAAACAAACAATCTCAATTGGAGGATTCCAACTAGCATGAGAAGATTCAATAAGGTGGTGGACTTAAGAATTACCTTTATTGCAAGTTAGTTTTGCTTGGTTAAATTTCCAAGCTAATCATCATCATCATCATCATCCAAACCTTATCCCAACTATATGGGTCGATAACATAAATCCTGTTTCGCCATTCTGTTCTATTTAATGTCATATCTATTGTTAAATTATGGGCACTTAATCATTTCTAACTATTTCAATGCATGTTCTCTTTAGTTTACCCCTAGCTCTTCTAGTCCTTTCAACTTGCAACAGATCAATTCTTCTTACAGGTTCTGTCGGTGGTCTTCTATGCATGTGACCAAACCATCTTAGGCCATGTTTGGGAGTGCTTATTCTAATAAGCACTTATTTGCATTTGGCATCCAACTTTTTCAAGAGGGGGGCCCTTGAAAAAGCACTTTTATTCAATTACTTCTATAAAAACACTTGTATGAAAGTACTTTTACAAAAGCACTTTTGTAAAAGCACTTTTGTGAAAGCACTTTTACAAAAGCACTTTTATGAAAGTACTTTTATGAAAGCACCTTTATGAAAGCACTTCTATAAAAGCACTTTTATGAAAGTTCTATAAAAGTGCTTTCACAAAAGTGCTTTCGTAAAAGTACTTTCATAAAAGCGCTTTTGTAACTTATGAAAGTTTTATAAAAGTGCTTTTGTAAAAGTACTTTCATAAAAGCGCTTTTGTAAAAGGGATTTCATAAAAGTACTTTATCAAAGGTGCTTTCGTAAAAGTATTTTACTATTTTTATAAAAGTACTTTTGTAAAAGTGCTTTCATAAAAGTACATTTATAAAATTCAACTAGGGATATTTTATAAGTGGTATTTTAAAATTCAACTAGGGATAATTTTGGAAGAAAAAAGTTGAATAAGTGCTTATACAATAAGCACTTAAAAAAACTGGAAATTTGGGCTTAAAAAATAAGCCCTAATTTTTAAAATAAGCACTTATTTCAGGCTTATTTCCCAAATACCAATAAGTGCTTAATGACCCAAATAAGCACTTATTTTTAAGCACTCCCAAAGACCCAAACATGGCCTTAGTCTACTTTCTCTCATTTTTTAACCTATTGGAGCTACTCCTAGGTTCTTTCGAATGACTTCATTTTTAACCCTATCCTTTCTAGTTTTTCTACTCATCCATCTCAGCATATATATTCTGCCATTGTCATTTTTTTTGGATATGTTGTTTCTTGACTGCTTGACATTCTGCTTCATACAACATAGCTGGCCTTACACATGTTTTATACATTTCCAAGCCAATCCTATTTGCTCTAAATTAGACCAATTTCTTTTTCTGTGAATTGGGAAGAAAAATAGGAAGGGTTGATGGCAAGAGCATTACCTAGGCCTATTTTTGTTCTTTTGCCCAATTAGACTGGTGGAGAAGAAATTAGGGGTGGGTCTGCCACCCTTCAAGTTTGAAATATGTGGTTAAGGTTTCCAGGGTTTGATGGCTTGGTTAAATATTGGAGGGAAGAGGGTGTACAAGAATATAGATGGGGTAACAAAATTTTCAAGAAAATGCAAAAGGTGAAGGAGAGAGTAAAGTCTTGGAATAAAGAAGTGTTTGGTAGAATTGAGGAGAAAAAGGTGAGAATATGTTGACAGGTTGAGGAGTTGGGTCGTAGAGAAAATTAGAGACACTTAAATAATACTGGATGAGAGGAGAGATCGTAGTTAAAATAAGTACTTGGAAATGATTTTAGGCTCCATTTGGTTTGTGGGAAGATTTGGGTGGGATGGGAAAAGATGGGATGGGATGGGAAGGGAAAGTATAAAGATCTAACTTTCCAATGTTTGGTTTTATTGGGATGGGATGAGATGGGAAAATGTAAAAGGGGACGGCACTATTCACCTTCCTCCTTCGTTTGAGACGAACAGAGGCGAGTTAGGCRACGGCTACCCCCTTCATTCTCGTGATCCAAATGTCGAAGAAGCTTAATCTCACGAAGTGTACGTTTGGCATCCATGTGATTATCAAACGCATTAGCTATCTTCTTGATGGCCACCATTTCGTTGGTTTCCGAATTCATTACCGAGCTAGAATCACACAACAGAGGAAGAGCCAATAAGAAGATGACTAAAAGTTCTCTCCAGTTCAGACAAAAAAGTCAAGACCGACAAGCTACACAAATAACAGATAGGGGGGGGGATTTTCTTTTCTACTTTCCATATCAAAAAATTCAAAAGATTGAATTCATCTTTCTTGTTAGCTAAAAATAAAAGAAGAGAAAGTGATCACTAGACAATTCCGTAAACGCCTCGTTTGATGGGCATTATCGGGGGACGATACTTGGACGTGATCTCAAACAGATTACCGAAGATGTTGTATTGGATGAAGCGGCCATCATGCATTCGAATGGCCGGAAAATCCGAAGGATTACCGGCATTCATGTTTTCAGGACTGTTAGACATCCCCGAATCAGCAGCAGCAGCTCCTTGCATTTCTTGGGCATGTCTTCTTCTTCTTCTTCTTGTTTCAACCTCTCTGTTTATTCCCGATTGCCACTGTAACTTGTATGGTCGTGCTCTTCTAACTCTGCTGTAACTTGTTCATTCGTCGTTGCTGCTGCCTTCGGTTCGTGCTCTTCTAACTTTGACGACGACGATCCCACAGCATGGTCGTGCTTTGACGTCGCTGCCACATTACGGGAGGAGGGAGGGAGGACAAAGATCGTAGCTCGAGTTTTCCCACCGGGGTTGCACTGTTTTGGTGCGACCCCGAATCCATGATTTTGGGATATCGCATCCCACTTTTTTCTCATCCCATCCCCCTCTTTCCCTCAAAACAAATATGAGAAAAGGGGATATTTTTGGAATATTCTCTTTTTCTCATCCCCATCCCACAAACCAAACGGAGCCTTATGGAATGAGGAAACTTGTTGGAGACAAAAATCAAGGTGTAGATGGATGCTAGGAGATGGGAACACCAAGTTTTTTTTTCACTCTTTAGCTTTAGGCAGGAGAAGAGAAAACACAATTTCTAGGTTGGACGTGAATGGGGAAGTACTGATGAGGGATGGGGAGATTGTCAGGGCCTTTTTGGATTCTCTCTCTCTCTCTCTGGTGGAACTTTGTGGATCACTTCAAGTAAATCCATATCTGGGAAGTGGAGGGTCAAGTAGAGATCCCTGACTTAGTGTGGGATGTTTTGATCCATACCTGGGCAGCATTGTAATTTTATTTCTGATCTCTTGTAACGGTTAGGAGAGGCTGCATCTTGTGCCTCTCCAAGTGATTCTTGTAAAATCTTATTCCTCTTATTTAATGAAATCATTTTCAATTATAAAAAGAAAATGCTTTGAGTAGAGATCGGCCAGAGCAGCTGAAGATAAGGTTTGAGTTGGAGGAAATTAGAGAGGCCATGTTCTCTATATCAAAATCTCTATTCCTGAATGGTTTCACTGTAGCTTTTTACTAGGACTATTGGGATATATTGAGGCATGGTTTACCAGAAATACTATTAAATTCTGGACAGACCTTTGGTGGGGAAGCACTCCCTTCTGCGAAGCCTTCCCCTCTCTCTTTAGGCTAGTGTGTGATAAGCATGCTCTCATTTCTGTAACCTTGATAAGAGATTCAGAGGGCCTTTCCTTTAACCTGAATTTTCACAGAGAGCTAAGAGACTCAGAACTTTCTGAAATCACCTCCTTACTCTCCTTACTCTCGGAAGTGTTGATCTCTTACTCCACTGAAGACAAGCTTATTTGGTCTTTAACCCCTCAAGGCTCCTTCACTACCTCTTCTTTCTTTCGACACCTAACCACCAACCCACTCCCTTCTCCTTTTCTGGGCAAAAAGATTTGGCTCTCACAGTCCCCTCTAGAGTTTTTTTCATGATTTGGGAGGCCTCTTGCTCAAAGCTGAATACTTGTGACAACCTCCAAAAGAAGTTTCAAGGCCATCGTTTCTACTATCTGTCTCATGTGCTACAAGGATGGTGAATCTATCAGTCATCTATTTTTTAATTGTGCGGTGGCCAGAAATCTTCGGCAGTTCTTTCTCGATTCCTCAGCTGGAGGCAAGTTCAGCCGGACTCCCCCTAATTCTGTTGTAGAGTTTATCAACTCTTGGCAAGGGCTAAAGATGATTTTGGGCAAGAGAGGAAGCTGGGTGGTGAATAGCAAAATCTTCGAGGGTATCAGTCGGAAGAACATACATAGTAACTGGCCTGCTCTCAGCCAAGGCAGAAGATGCTTCTGATGCAGAGGCAAGGTCCCTCTTGGAAGGCCTCAGAATTGCCAAATCACAGCAGCTCAGCTGCATTGTAGCGGAAGGTGATTCAAGAAATGTTATTAACTGGGCTTCAGGACAGATTCTAGACCCGTGGAAGCTATCCCATCTGTTGTTAGAAATCAGGGAGCTTGCCTCTTATTTACACTGCAGTTTTAGATGGATTTTTTGTATGGCTCCAATATGCTGCCTTCCTAGAGGGCTGTCTCTTTGCTTTTGTTGTGCTTAAAAGGCTTGTACATCCTCTCATGTACATCCCCCTCCTTTTTTTTGAATGCTGAATGAATTCAGTTATCTTCTCTCAAAAAAAAAAAAAAAATCTTTGATAGAGGAAGAATAAATGTGGGGGCTGATGCGACTCTTGCTGGTTTAATTCCTAAGAAGAAAGGGGTTTGTCACCTGAAAGGTTTTAGGCCTATTAGTCTGGTGGGGAGCTTGAACAAGATCATAGCCAAGGTGCTGTCCATAAGGATTAGGAAAATGTTATTCTATTAATTACCCAGTTTCAAGATGCTGTTATGCAAGGAAGACAAATGGTGGATCAAATTCTTATTGCAGATGAATGCATGGAGGACAAGAGGAGAGGTAGAAAGAAATGGATGGTCTATTCATCAAAACAAAAAAAAAAAAAGAAATGGATGGTATGCAAGCTTGACCAAAAAAAGCCCTATGATATGGTGGACTGGTCCTTTCTTGTTAGAAGTCATGGGGAGGTTCGGGTTTGATGAGAGGTGGATAGCAGGATGTTCGAGGACTTGTCACTATTCAGTGGTGGTGAATGGAATAGTCAAGGATGTTTTCCTAGCAAGTAGCACATTGAGACAGAGACTCTTTCTCCCCTCTTTTGTTCATCTTGGTGGTATGTTATTAGTAGAATGACAAGCATAGCGGATAGGCTTAATTTGATTAGAGGTTCGACGGTTGGATATCAACGTGTGGTCACTCATTTACTATTTGTAGATGATATAATGTTGATTTGTGAAGGGGGATATGAGGAGGAGATTAGAAACATTCTAGATATCATTAGAAGCTTTGAAAGAACTTCAAATTTGAAGGTTAACTTGAGGAAGAGTTGTGTAGTTGAGATCAACATATCTGAAGAAGAATCAAACACCATTGGGGGGATCCTTAGAATGTGAGCCTAGAAAATAGTCGATGTCTCGATGACTTACCTAGGTTTACCTTTGGATGGAAATCCTAGGCCGGAAGATTTTTTGGAGCTAGTGCTTGAGAGATTCTCCAAGAAGCTTGCTATGTGGAAGAGAAACTATATTTCTTTCGGAGGAAGGATTACCTTGATAAAATCCACTCCTAGCCACCTTTCAAATTTTGATTATGATTGCTAGAAGAATTCATAAAATAATGATGAATTTTCTATGGGATTCAGGGGATTCTAAGAAAGATCACTTAATAAAATGGAAGAATGTGTGTAGGAGCAAAGATCTAAGGGGGTTTGGAATTGGGAACTTAGTGCATGGAAACATTGCTCTTTTGGGTAAATAGTTGTTGAGATTGCGTCTAGAACAGTACAGGCTTTGGCACAAGGTTATTGTAAGCATTTATGGACTGATGAGCAATGGTTGGGATACTAAGATCTCCTTAAGAGCTTCTGCTGCTGCTTCTTGGAAATCTATCCATTTCATTCTTCCTAGTTCTTATCTTCCTAACACATATCAGTTATAATGCTGGAAACAATAATAAAATATTGTTTTGGGAAGATTTGTGGCTCAAGGATGGCTTGGTGAAGAATAGATTTCCTTCCTTGTACGCTCTTTGACTCTTTTCTCCTACCAAATGGAACCTATTTCCAAATTTCGGGTTTCTTATCCTATTGGGGTGGCTTGGGACCTTGGTTTTAGTAGTGATTTAGAAGGCGCGCCTTAGGCATTCCTAGGCACACAAGCGAGGCACATTTTGGGGTATGCACCTCGCCCAAGTCCTAGGCACACCCCTTTCAAAAGGCACACGCCTGGTGCGCCTGGTGCGCCTGATGCGCCTTAGCCTCATCCTAGGCATGGGCCTTTTTAAAATTTTGCACTTTTTGCTTTTTTTTTAGTCTAACGGCTGGGCCAGAGGCTCTACCGCCGAACCCCGACCACGCCCCTTGAGGCAAGCTTGAACAAGTCTATGTTAGGGTCTGAAATTCTTATAGACTTGTTCGGGGCTTGCCTCGAGGGGCGTAGTACAAAGGCGACTCATAGAATCAAGAATGTAATATGTTTTACATCACATTAGCTACTTGAAGCAATGCAATTAAGGAAAAAAAGAGATTGTGGGTTTTACATGCTTGAAAATGCTTTATATGTTTGATCTATAAAAAAATGCTTTATATGTTTGCTTTTATTTTTAAATTTTCTTTTGAATACGCTTTACATGTTATGCTTATGTATTTTAATTTTAGATAATAGGTTTTTTAAAACATTTATTTTAAAACTTAAGTTTTGTATTAACATTATGTTTAATATTTTTTTATTTTTTTGCATTTTTTAAATTTTTTTTGGCACTTTTTTGAATTTTCTGACTTTTTTTTGTACTTTTGCGCCTTGCTTAAAAAGGCGCACGCCTCGCCTTGCGCCTTGTGCCTCAAGCACAAATTGGCCCTTGCACTTTTAAAACACTGGGTTTTAGGAGAGGCATTGGGAGGGGAAGTCTTCTTCCTTGGTTGAGCTGCTCTCTTTGTTGGATTATATATACCTGGATCAGTCTTGCTTTGATTCCCCCTTGGTGACAGCTCACAACTCAACCAAAAAAAGGAAGAAGAAGATTGCAGCGGCAGCCCCTTTACCTTGTCTTCAGAAAAAAAAAAAAAAGATATTAGAAGAGAGAGATAAAGGAGATTGCAGTCTTCTTTAATCCAGATCACAGCCTTCTAGGTGCTCTGGTACCATGTGATTACACCCAAAAACCAACAGGAAATAGTAGGGGAAAATAAGAGAAAGAGAGAGAGGAAGGAGAAGAGAGTATTGTCCTGTCCCAGCTGGCTGATATTTATTATAGATCACTAAAGATGTAGACAATAACCATTGTGCCCCTGATTAAGTATGGGAGTATGGGGCATATAATGGTAGGACATGATAGAACAACTACATCTAATAAAAAATACTGTAGTGACAGAAATACCCTTAATAAGTTGGCTTCTAACAGAGGTGATGTGGCAGATGAGCTTGAACTGTCTGAACCATTTGGTTTATCTCTTATTGAGATTTTGGTACTAGGAACAATTAAGATAACTATCTTGTATGTCCATTGCAGGTGAAAATGTTAGAAGCCCTACAAGATATCGAAATTGCTTCAAGATTAGTCGGTTTTGATGTTGATGATGATGATTCCCTTGATGAGAAGTACAAAAAGCTTCGTTGCAACATTACTCCACTGCCTCATGATAGTGAAGATTATCGTTTGGTTGAAAAGTACCTCCTTACCACTCATGCACCCACGCACAAGGTGGGTTTATTTATTGCTTCTTTGACAATGGCATGTTCTTACTGCTGATTGCTGGATAGTTTTAGTTTATGCTTTATACTTTTTTCCTTTTGTTTGAAGTTTGAATTTTGTTACCTGTAGGATTGGAGTCTTGAACTGGAAGAGGTTTTTACACTTGAAAGAGATGGAGAATTTGACAAGTTTGCACCTTACAGAGAAAAACTTAAAAATAGGATGCTTTTGTGGCATGGTAAGCTATGTTAATTACTTTAGATGATTGAGTAATTCTTTTATGGTATGCAAGTAAAAAAATCATGTATTGTTCTGCTTAGAAAATAGAAACATGAGTTGGTTGGACTTTGGCTTTTACTACCACTTGAATATGGATATGAATACCAGAAAGTGTTTTGATAATCTGCAAGAGAACAAGACGGATAGCAAAGTAAAAAGTTTGTGTTCTACAGGTTCGCGCTTGACAAACTTCGTAGGTATCCTCAGTCAAGGTTTGAGAATAGCACCTCCAGAAGCTCCAACTACTGGCTATATGGTTCTCTTCTCTTCTCTCTTTCTCTCTCTTTCTTTCTCTCTCTCTCTCTCTCTCTTTCTCTCTCTCTATCTATTCACTAAAGGGGCCAGAAAAAATGGAAACCCCAAAAGAGCTATACAGTGGATCATGTGCTCAATGAATAGTTAGGATCTGCTACACCAGGCCAAGTATTGGTGGTTTTCACAACTAACATTAGGGTCTGTTTGGTTCGCTGGAATAGGTGCCTGGAATCGGAATAGCCCATTCCAATTCCAACTGTTTGTTTGGTCGGAATGGGGTTTCCATTCAAGAAGTCTGTCAAAGATATTAATTAATAATAATAATAATAATAATAATAGTAATAATAATATTCCAACTGTTTGTTTGGTTGGAATGGGATTTCCATTCAAGAAGTCTGTCAAAGATATTAATTATTAAATATAATAGTAATAATAATAATAATAATAAGTATAAATACAATATTAATAAACAATTCATGAAATAATAGTAAAACATTAATAATTAAATAATAAGATATTGTGAAGTATTAATAAAATAATTATATATTCATAAATATTAATAAAGTAATAATAAAATAATAAACTGATTAATACAAAATTGGAAAATTTCAGTTGATTCTGATTCCCGACTGAACCAAACAGGCGTGGGAATGATTCTGATTTCCGATTCTGATCCTGTCTGCGAACCAAATGGACCCTTATTTATTCAGAGTTTGGTTTTTAAATATAAAATTTACTTGTAAAAAGTTAAACTTATTTTGCACATTATTATGTATGGGATAGATTCCTTGGTTATTTGGGGAAGCTCACTAAATGACCCAACTTGCAGATCCACTATATATATAGTTTTGCTAATTGAATTGTTTAGAAGATTATAAAGGATACTGGAATCTTCTAAGTAGCAATATTTTTAACCTCACTTGTTCCTCTCTCTGTCTATTCACTGGATAGTTTTTACTTAAGATTTAAGAAAACATGCCACATGTTCAAAATAAGTTGAAAATAGATCATGTTGTCTGAAGAAAACTTGAATTACAAAGTGGTAACAAGTCTGATACGAACAGGGGAAAGTGAAATGAGGCCAAACTAGAGGGTTGCCTATCCAATAGATGGTTTGGAACTTTGGATCTGCCAAGCAAAAGCTGTGTACTTGACCAATTTAAAACCTTACAGCATGTGTGTGTGTATGGTATAACAAATGTGCAATGTATGCACATGCAACCATGTGGGTATGTATGTATGCATGTGTATTTGTGCACCATTTCTAACTATCTGTTCATCTTTGTAATATAGTTTGGCAAAGGAATCTACTTTGCTGACCTGGTCAGTAAGAGTGCTCAGTATTGCTACACGGATAAAAAGAATCCAGTGGGTCTGATGATTCTTAGTGAAGTGGCCTTGGGTGAGGTCTATGAACTAAAGAAAGCGTTGGTGAGTTTCACAACCTATCATCTTTGGCATCATCCATCCATATGATTGTTATTACATTAGCACTTGATAACTATAACAGATGTATGCATTCTTATGCATGCTGCCCTGATGTTTAAAATCATAGACGGGCATGCCCCCCCCACCCACACACACACAAAAGAGAAAGAAAAAAAAAAAAAAGAAAGGCTTATGATATGTAAGGTAGGCTCCATGAGAGGTTAGAAATTTCTGTACAGTGGTCCCCGAGGAAACTTTCCTGGTCCACCTGAGTATGTTTACATGTTTTAAGTGCATTATCTCCTAATCATGCATATATGAGGCTGAAATTAATTGTTATTATGGACAAGATTTATTCCACAATTAATTTTTGGCTTCAGAATTGTTAGCTTTCTCCTGATTTCAGTTTAACTAACTTTTCTTTTTTGTTTCATCTATTAACACTTAAGTACATGGAGAAACCTCCAAAAGGGAAGCACTCAACCAAGGGCCTTGGCATGAAGAAACCTCAGGAATCAGAGTATGCCAAGTGGAGAGATGATGTGATTGTGCCATGTGGGAAACCGGTGTCATCAAATGTCAAATCCTCTGAGCTAATGTACAACGAGTATATTGTGTATAATACAGCTCAGGTTAGACCCTTTTTGATGGTTCTGACTAACAATTTAGTTGATTAATCCTGCACTGAAAATTTGTTGTTTTAAGCTTAACCAACTTGTTTGCAAGGGGAGAAACACTTGATAGTTGATCAATACCTTGGTGGAAGGCAATTGATCGGTCAACACTTCATCCAGGCTATACAGTGGATGATAATTCATAATTGCAATTGTTCCCCGCATGATTTATGCTGTTTCCTTAGATTTGTGTCTGGGTTGCCACTAAGTTAAGTGTTTTGGTATTATGGACAGGTCAAGATGCAGTTCTTGTTGAAGGTGAGGTTTCAGCACAAAAGACAAGGAAACAAAGGTGAGTGATGCTCCTCACTTCTGAAAGGTTGTCTTTTCAGGGGAATGATATTTGGCTTTCTCGCAGTCGTGTAAATAAAGAAACAGATTGGGTCTTCTTTTTTGTGGCTGGGGTTGTAAAGAAAATGTAGCCTCTTTTCTAGTTTTCTTCCATCAAGTCTTTTCCTGGTTTTGGTGAGAGTGAGATCTCATTTTGGATCTTCACGAGGTCCATCAAAGTTCTGTTTCGTGAAACTTGTGAAGCAATTAAGGAACAGAAAACAAGTTAAGATGATCCACTTTTCTTCACAACTGATTGTGGCAACACGATTGCACTCGTGCAAGGGAACAGGAACACACTTCAGCGGGCCCCATTAGTTTCCAAACAATCAAATATTCAATAGGATGATAAGCATATCCAAATCCAATCTTTAAACTTGGCCGCTTTATCCAACTACCACCTGAACGTGGGCCTCCGTTAGGATCACGGCTCATGTCTCACGCTGACTCGTCTCGTAATCCTGACCACCCAACTTTGCAAAGTATTGGACTGTCAACGCAACAAAGTAGATCTGTCAGGTGAGACTTGTGTGGACTCTTGCTTGCGTTGCCCAAGCCCAATCCAACGTCGTGTGTAGACAGACATGCAAGCTCATAGATTACTGTTGTCGCCTATGGATGGTGACTTGGAATTAACGTTACATTACATCTTTGTTACTGCACAGGCTCTGGTGCAAACCTGCCCATGTGACCTAAGGTTCAAAGCATTGATATATGTTATCTCTACTATTGGTAGAGGTGCATTTGTTTTAGTTTTTATATATATATATATGTGTATTATTAAAAAAGGGGTTCTTGAAAATCTGTAAATAGGTGTTTTGGGATGTAAAGGATATGACGTGATACGCCCAATACAGGGTGTATTGTATAACATGCAAGTGTTCCATACACGTGAGGCCTACACTGATATGGGTCTCGTGCATGGAACACTGGTGTGTCAACTCAGGAGTGGTAACATAGAGCATGGTTTAGCTGAACGTTTTAGCTGTTCAGTGGGCTATGGAATCAATGATAAGGTTTTACACCAATATTAAATACATGGGACCCACATCTTTTACAGTGGGATTCATGAATTTATTACTGGCATAGAACTTCATCATTGGTTCCACAGCCTGCTGAATGGCAAAGCTCTCAGCTAATCTGAATCCGGTAACATAACTGGGTTTGCACACTTGTGTTTGGAGTTGGGAATTGGGATGTGGTAGATCTTGCGCCTCCTATGTTCCCATCTTATGTGGTCTCACCTTCATCAGATTTTTCATTCATAGATGGGCCCTGTGGACCTGACTTCTTCACTGCAACCTGGTACAGCTTACTAATTAGCTGAAAATTACCAGGGCTGCTTTTGGTTGCATGTAAATAAAGGAAAACGATTGATTTTCCTGAAAAATAATGTTCGAGGTTAAAAAAAAAGGGGGAGAATATAGGAAAATGAATCATATTCGTACTTTTTTTTTTCTGGTATTTGGTATAAATGAAGAGTTGAGATATATACTAGCGTTGCGAGATATTAATACAGATGATGAACCTCTCTGTTCAGAAAATGATTTAAGAAAAATTAAGGCTATGTCATTTCCTGTAACTATTTCTCGAGTCTCACTTATTTCAAATTGGTGGTTCTTTTTTCACAGCCATTTTTACGTGGAACCAAGCATTGTGAAGCAAAGCAACAATGTATGGATGTTATTCGCTTTTCTACATATCACAGTGCAGTAAAAATGGAGCGAGTATTACTACTTTGGTGTACAAGGAGTAAAAAATGACCGTCCGTTGGCTCCTTTTCTGTCCATTGGCTGGCCCAAATGGATGTAGTAACTAGTAGTAAGGAAAAGCTTCGTACTTCGTACTGATCAAAAGAAAAGGGGAAAGAGTTCGTACATGGGGTAAGGTTGTGATCATCTTTAGATCTGCATCGACGATGCAATTGAGCTGTATGTATGGATGATGCAGAGGGCCAAGTTCCAGGATCTTTAATACTTTCTGGCATCACCATTAAAATATCCAAAAAAAGTAATAATTTCTGGAAAAAAAAAGAAGAAAGAAATAATTAATAATGAATGAAGAGAAAAGAGTAAGTTTGGTACAAACAGAAACCCGGATTGAAGACCAACTGATTGAATGAATTACCCAAAAGAAAAGTGGGGCAGTGGCCATCTTTCCTTACTCGCATTAAAAATTGGAGCCAGACATATCAGTGGCCTTCGCCCTTCAGAGATTTATTAGTTGCCTTACGAACTGTTATTAATTGTGTTAATAAATCAAACAATGCACAGCAGAGCTGTGGGTAAAATTGTAAAAGTATCAACAGAAGCAGAAAACAAATAGCACTATATATAGCTGCTTCTGCTGCTGCTGCTGCAGTACCAGTACCTGTGCGGCGTTCGGCCAACAATTTGAGCTTTTTTAATCTCTCTATATTAAACTTCTTATTAACCACGCTCCACAACCCATAACCCCTAACAAAAACCAAGTAAATAAAAAGAGCAAATTGCAAACAACCACCTGTTCTTGGAGGGGCAGTGATACTTAGCTCCTTGAATTTCTAGATTTCAGCGTTTTGCCCCCTGCCATTGGCATTTTATTAGTTAACTTAAATGAAATATATCATATTTTTATCGTTTCTGTTATCAGATATAAAATCATGAATGAAAAATTTAATAATTTTACACTTTTATCATCAACCCCGTCAGCCGGTAATAAGGGGGTAAAGTGCTGAAATCTAGAATTTTGGGGGGAGGGGGGGGGGGGTTGTCCTTTGTCGTAACTCGTAAGTCGTAAGACAAAATTTGGGGGTTAAGTGTTAACATCCTTTAAGTACAGAGTGGATATATGTAATTTACCCCAAAAAGAAAAGAAGAAGAGAATCAACAAAAACAATAATAATAGAATAATCTATAATTAGAAAAACAAATGTCATATCGTATACACCATTAAAATATGTCCCCTTTGAACCCTACACAGAAACCTTGCGTGTCCCTCCTTCCCCTTGCCCATTCTAGCCCTTATAAGACTGCTTATATCCTTGACCCTCACTCGTGACTTTTGTTTCTAGTTACTAGAGAATTCATTCAGCACCACTCCCTAGTTTGTCCGTGCGTGTAAACTCTAAAGCTAAAGCCTAATCAATCTCTGTCTCTCCGCCCATGGCTGCCGGAACTGGCTCTCCTTGTGGTGCCTGCAAGTTCCTCCGGCGAAAATGTGCCACCGACTGCATTTTTGCGCCTTACTTTTGCTCCGAGCAAGGTGCCGCTCGGTTTGCTGCCATCCATAAGGTGTTCGGTGCTAGTAATGTTTCCAAATTGTTGTTACACATTCCGCTCCCTGATCGCTGCGAGGCAGTCGTCACAATTGCTTATGAAGCTCAGGCCAGGATCCGGGATCCCGTCTACGGCTGTGTCGCTCATATATTCGCCCTGCAGCAACAGGTGCTTCTTCTTTCTTCTTCTTCTTCTTCTTCGCAATCAAACACAAATAGAAGTTGAATATACAAGCCTCAAAATCTAAACCATCCTTCAAAAGTTTTGGCTATATATTGTCCTTTAATTTGCATGGCGTTAACTTGATAGCAGGCTTTATTTTCTGCAACAAAAAGGGAAAGAAAACCCTATTAAGTAAGCATGATTAAGGTTCGGTTTTTTAGTGGATCTTCTGTGTTAAGTGATTTATCTGCTCTGGGTAGATAATAATTAAGTGGGGGTGTTGATTATAACAACTGTTTCTGTTTGTATTTATTGTTGCAGGTGGCGTTGCTGCAAGCCCAGTTGATGCAAGTGAAGGCTCAACTAGCTCACAACCACCTTGCTAGTACACGACTGCCGGAGAACCATTGGCCGGGGAACTGTGCCTCCGGCGATCCTGACCCGACTTTTCCGATGTACATGCACTCCATCACATCTCAGGGTTCTCTTGACTTGGTGGACCTCGATGACGATGCTGTGATGCAAGATATGCAAAGCACAGAAGGTCCCCCATTCCAACCTTGTGAGAAGAAAAGATTGTACTACAGTGAATTGGGTGAGCTTCAAGCTCTCGCTCTTAGGATGATGAGGAACTGATTCTTCCTCCTCTGAGATGAGGATGACGATGGGGGTGGTGATAGTAATCCATGCACTGTGATGTAAATACAAAAGAATCTGAAACGAAAAGGGAAACTTGGCATCTAATGTGATGAAGCTCAATTCAAGGATCTTTTTTTTTTCATGAAGAGACATGAGATTATGTCAATACCAATTACTCAAAATTGCTTCTCTCTCTCTCTCTCTCAAAATATTCAATTTATTTACCAATTTCACTGATACCCATCTACCTTGCTTAGAATGAGAATTAACTTGGAGAAAAAAAACAAATTAACTCTATTATATCTTTTTCCCATAGAAGATAATTTAAAAGAATAAAGTAAAACTATAGTGGCTCTTCTAGATGACACCTCTGGTTGAAATTTCTATGGCAATTCTGAGGTTAGTGTAATTTTATTTGTTCTTATCAGATGGTGGGGTCATAAATTTATTTTAAGTAACAACCCTTTGTGCCTATTGTTTTCATGCTTTTAATATGATGGGTTTAGTACTAAAACATTAATTAAAGTAATAGTTAATTACAATTTCCAAGGCTTCCTCTCATCTTCACTTAATGGGTTTGGAGTTAATACCATCATTCGCCATCTCAATTTGAGTCTTCATGGACCCACTTGCCCAATTTATTTTTCTGCACTAAAAAGTTGGTTAACCTAACATAAATGCTTATGCTAAATTTAATGTCACTGCTCATAGCCTTGTATCCATATATATAGACAAAATGTCTCCTTGATTGAATGCACAGGGCAACATCAACTTAATTTTTGTACTTTTTTCGCAATCAAATTACTTGTTAAACGCTCCATGACTCCATTTCTCATATGGGACTTAAGTCATCAAGGATCAACTTCCGTCTAAGCAAGCCTCTTTATGTTATAATTCTATTAGTTTATTAATGAAAAAATGTTTGCTTATAGAAGAAAAGCCTCATAACAGTATGTACCTTAGAACTTAGTTGGCTGTAAAGACTAATTAAAGAGTAGGTTTCAGTCTCTGAGACAGTGACCAGAAGAAAGGGGAGACATCATCTATCTTTCTTACTTGGATTAGACATCATCTTTTATTATTATTATTATTATTATTATTATTATTATTATTATTATTATTATTATTATTATTATTATTATTATTATTATTATTATTATTATTG